AACCAAGTTCGAGATAAATTAGTTTGAATCACAGCATTATTGCTATTAAATTATTATTTCTATTAAAATCTTGAGCCACTATAAGTTTCTTAGAGAGGTCTGTGAAAATCTGATATCAACACAGCTCTACTTTCTTCTACTCAAAGATGTAAACAGAAAAGAAAAGAAGACTTATTTAATATAAAATATAAAAATATCCATGCACCAATAGTGCAAATGTTGCTCTGAATACCTTTTCTTTATACTAATATATATTAATAATCAAGACTATAGGACTCTATGCAGTGAACACACCACTAGTGCTTCATTGGAATTTAGTAGGTAAATAGCAGTCAGGTGCTGCCAATCAAGCATCTGATTAACTGATTATCTATAAAAGCAGGATTTCTGGCAGCTCGCTGGTCTGCAGCATTAAAGTGCGCGTGAACACTATGTCACAATCTACCTAGGAGTTGGCATCTCATTAAACGAATCACTTTATTACGTAACTCCTGCTGTCAAAGTGTCCTTAAACTCACCACTCTTTACCTTAAATGTGCACCTCCCCTCTCCTTACTTCCCGATTTATTGCCCTGTAAAGCTCTTCTTCACCTCCTCTCTGCTCTCTTCATCAGCTGCTTTGTTTGATATCATTTCTGACAAGTCTAACTGTGAGATTTGATCACTGACTCGCTCACATGCCCAGACCCATGCATGTGCATGAGTGTTTCAATGCCATAAAAAACCGAGCAGCTTCAGTACAAAACACTTGAACGTATTACCCCTTAAAAAACAAATGTTTACTCCCATTAATCCAGAAAAGTGGACAAAATTGCTCAAGTGCAGTGCCATCTAACAGTCTCAGAACAACTCAACAAGATTTACCTACCAAAATCAAATCATATAAGCTTTTATCTTCAATGGCTTTTCTTGATATCCACTTAAATAACACTGTAAATCAATACGTATGAATATAAGTTTACTGTAATGTTCATTTAACAAACAGCTTTTATTTTTCTACATTTGCACTTGCCTATTAGCCTTCTGTCTTTTCTTTCCCTGCCTCTAGGAAGGCAGGTGAGACAGCACAAAGAGCCACCAGAGCGGGTATGGTTTGCCCCCTCATATGGGGCTATTATTTTTAAACATGTTTGACTTTTTTACTTGCTTTTAAATCTTATTGTGCCCCGTTTATCATCTACCCTTCTTCAAAGGGTAAATGATAAACCCTCGATGCAAACGTTAGCTGCTTTAACCCCCTCAAACAACCCCCCACCTTTTTTTCTTAATCAGATCAAGTTGCATAATGAGCATAAAAATGATATTTCAGGCTGTCATACAAAAGCTAATGGGGGAGTTTTACAGTAACAAAGCAGGACTCAAATAACCACTCTTGTCTTGAAAACAAAGTTATGCAGAAGAGCATCTCTCAATGCACAAAAGCTTGAACCTTGAAGCAGATGGGCAAAGAAGGAGCAGAAGACCACACCAGGTGCCCCTCCTGTCAGCTAGGATCAAAAACCTGAGACTGCAGTTCCCACAGGATCATGAAAACAACAGAAGACTGGAAATATGTTGCCTGGTCCAATGAGTTTGTGCCGCAACATTCAGATGGAAGGGTCAGAATTTGGCATGAACAACATGAAAGCTTCGATACATCCTGCTGTCAGCCGAGCATTGTTTAAACACCCAGCCTATTTCATTATTCTCAGTGGCCATGACCACAGTGTCTCCATTTTTTGTAACGGCGTGATGCTATCATGCCAGTATGGACCCAAATCTTGCACCTTGATCAATTAAGCCAGTTCTCAAGGAAAAAGAGGGGTGAGGGTTGTTATTAGCAAGGTGTGCCTAATAAAGTGTCAAGTGTGAGTGTAAGTCACAATGACTGGAAGGCTCAGGCACAATTCGTGGACATATAGTAAACTGTGGCTGGTTGGTGGACGCAGACATTGGAATTATAGTCATAAGCATCACCTGGTATCACACCTGAGAGGCGGAGGTTCTTTTTGGCAGGTCAGAAATCCTCAAAAAACATAGCCATGCTTGGTTTTTGAAACAATGTCAAACACCCTCAGTGAGTCATTAGTTTTACCTCCTTTCTAGAGCAGCCTCCAGTATCCACACACCGCAGGCTGCACACTTATTGCACTCGAGTAGGAGGATTAAAGATGTGCTGAAGTTCCATAACACTTTGACATGATACATTTGCATATTTTTACACATTACCGAGCACTTCCACCAACACAGTACTCCCTTTTATCAAATGTTAAACCTTTAACTCATCCCTTGCACGCTGCGTTGCTGCAGCGAGGATTTGAGAAGGAGCAAAATAACGGCTGAAAAACCAAAGAAAAACCTAATCCTTTCGTTTACCTTCTTTCTGCTCTGCTTATTCCTCCTGGAATCCGCAAATTTCTTACTACTTTATTTTCTCTTAAATGGGACAACACAGCATGAGCAGCATCTAGCCTCTGCTGTTCTCTAACACCTCTTCACATTCCTCGACAAAGAAAGCCAAAGATCGCCTCGGACAAGCCAGAGTTTCTCCTCTTTCTCTCTCTGACACTTTTCTTTCACTCCTTCACTTCAGCAAGATTAACAGCCTGACTTTGTCTTTTCAGGTTTCTACGCTTTTCCTCTTTTTGCTATTTCGCTTTCATTCCTCTCACCCATATCTCTCCTCTTCTCCTTTGTCTCTCCCTCTAAGCAGCAGTGGAACTACACCATAGCCGTGGACGGCAGCGGCTGTAAAGATGACAGAGCAATCATCTGAACATGGCCACTCTGGGACTTAGACGAGCAGCTTTGATCACAGAAATGAGTGCCATCATCTGCTTGACCCAGTGTGTGTGCACCCTGCGTAAACCTATCACGACAAGCCGATGAGCGCTATTGTCAAAAATAAACTGTTGCAACAATAAATGTTACCAATTTAGGGCTTTTATCAACTGCCACTTCAGCCGAGCTCCTGTGTGCATTTCTTCTGTTTCCGTGTGCTAATGCCACCCAAGTGCCAACCTCAGCAGCGTTAATCAGTTCACTGTCGTCAGCGGCAATGATGCCTTTCAACTCCGTCTCTTTTTAAAATGAGATTTGCAACAGAAAGGAGGCACCGGCCTGATGTATTCACTGGCAGGAGGCTCCTTCAGCTCTCTCATGTCTCTGATGTTTATGCGTGCATGTGTGTGTGTGTGTGTGTGTGTGTGTGTGTGTGTACTCTGTCTCCAGCCTTAGATGGAACAGATGCTTCAGCGAAGGGGGGCCACACATCAACCTTGATATTCTGCTGTTAGCATATCAGCGTCCCCCCTCTTTCACCCGCCCCCTTTCCATTTTACTCACGCTGTCAGAAATTGATGATCTGCAATTACACAGCATGTGTCGGTGCAACTAAACATCATTTAATAGCTCCGAGCTGACAGTACATGACTGAGCAAGCAAGCGGAGAAACACCCGTGTCACAGTGAAACTACCATGTTGTCTCCAACAGACCATGTTGCATTTTGTTGTTATGTAGAAAAATATATATAATGGGATATACAATGTAGGCAAAATTAAGGGTGACGGGGACGATTTTGGAATTTCTGGCTTGTGTAAACTTTCTTGTTGTAAATTCTAAGAAAAGCTTCAGCCCACTATGTGATATTCTGTAAAGATGAAGAGGTTTAGCATCTATTTGAGCTGGAATTAAGAGCAGATCATACTCCAAGAAAGCACACCAAACCCTTTTTGTGTAAAAAGACCCAAAGCGCTATTTTCGTAACATCTCCCTGTTGGGACCGAACATTTGACTACTTATTTCAGCTTTGCTAGAAACTTACAGCATGTTGCACAGTTTGTGTCATACTTGTCCTTTACTTTGACATAATTTTGCTTTTTTTTTCTATCATATTTCTGTCCACAGTCATTACGGTATAAAACTGCCTCACTTTCACAGGAAATCACTTACTAGTGGAAATAGCTGGGTACTGTCATGGTACTGTTACGGCCCTCAGTGGGCGAGGTGAGGGTTTTTAAAGTACCCACGTCTGTTAGGTGTGTCATGCATTTGTGCCATGTAGTGACTCAGAATACAGACTTCATCACTACATTCTGTAGAAGATCTGAGTGACTGGGTGTCGGAGGTCACTGATCTGCAAAATGCAAAGTTCGTCTCTACTGCGAAGTTAGTAAGGTGAAAGGACCAATCAAAAATACCTATGTAATACCTTTTTACGGCAGCAGCAACAGCAGCATATTACCTTTACCTTCGGGTGAGCTCATTGTGAACTTTATAAACGCCTGGATTCTGGATTCCAGATATTGAAAGCATGTAGAATATCTATGCTGTTACTGTGTGTGTGTGTGTGTGTGTGTGTGTGTGTGTGTGTGTGTGTGTGTGTGTGTGTGACAATATGATTGTGTTCTTACCTTTGCTAAGTTCCTCAGCCTATGCTTTTCTGTTTGAAGCTAGCCCCGCCCACCCGTGTATGCCACAACAGCTTGCACATTTATTTTTCATTATTTGGTTTCAGAGCTCTGCCTTAACAAAAGAAGTTGTCATTTTGCATGTACAAGGAAGAAAACAAACCATGTATACTTATACTGTCCCATTCAACCTTATGTCCCAATTACTCTTAATAGAAAGGCTGATATGCTCGCAGCACAACCCCAGCAGGATTATCACTGAAGCATTTTTAAGACTTAATACAATATTTGAAATACAGGCTGTGCTGAAGTCTCTCCTGACATAACTGAGTGCCACCATAAGCACTATCTGCGAACCTCGGACCACAAATTCACTTTTAAGTAAAAGAAGACAAAAACATTAGCCGCACTTTAACTCGCACATATTGAACGCTAATTACTCAGGAATTAGACAACTTGTCAAATATTTGGTGCTTTTTTTGTTGCAGCAAAACAACAACTTGTAAAATGTAATTACCGAAATGAAAAAGCTATTTTCACACAAAAATAAGTTGGAGTTTAAATGTATTAGAGATGCGGGGAAACTACTACATTAAAGTCATGTTACTCACGTTGTGCGACCCTCTGACGCGCAGTCCAAACAAATCCTTTAACTGCGTTTCTGGGAGACGCTTGAAGATAAAGTGAGAGGGCACAAACGCGCCATTACGCGTACATACAGCAGTCGTGCGCGCAAGGTGCCCTGACCTGTGTTAACTGTCTGTCTGTGTGTACTCTGCGCTGCACTGTAGCGCCAGCTCCCTCAGCTCTATCACCTGCCATGTGATACGCACGATGCCTTTACGAGCTCCTCGGAACTCCTGAAACTATTTCTCTCTCTTTTAGATCTACATTGAACATTATGATATGTTTCGCAGTGCGCTCATAGTTGAGAATGAAAAGGAACCATCTAATTGTAGTACTTGTATCTTTTCTTCTTGGATCCAACAAATACCAATGATGATTGTAATACTGTGCAGTACTAGTCAAAGTTGCTGTTGTGTTTTATTCAAATGATAAGCCAAAGATTTTAACGTCTTAAATTAGCCTCATTATCCTACAAGTGATGTCTCCGATATTCATGAACGCAGCGAGGCATCGATCTGTGGTAATCCGGATAACGATTTGGTTTTAAGACTCCAAACTCAAACGTTTGTCCAAAAGGTTCTTCACATTGCCTGAACCTGAAATATGTGCTCTGCATTTAAGGGAAAAGAGGGGGAGTGATACCACTACTACTAATAATAGTAATAATAATGAGAATAATAGTAATAATAGTAATAGTAATAATACGAGATTTCAAGATTCATAGAGTCATACAAGTACAACACACAGGGAAATGCTTCCTGAACTGCTCCTTGACTGTGCAAAATATTATAAACAATAAGTAAATTTAAATTAAAAATCGGAAATTTGAAATAAAATAATAATATTATTGAATAATAATAATAATAATAATAATAATAATAATAATAATAATAATAATAATAATAATAATAACAATTAATTTATCTTTAAGAGGTTGAGACAGTAACATCCGAAATTGCAAACAGCTAAAAACAACCAAACAACGTGGGGGGAAAAATGTCCATTTTATGTTTAGCTTCGCTTTATTATTATTTTTTCTATAATCAAACACTGCCATCTAGTGATGTAAAGTCATAATTATACTTGAGTGTACATTATCAGTGCAAGAAAATCACTGATTGCATTCTTTATTAATATTTACTTTTTTAAATATATATCGCCATTGATGTGATAAATTCTACAAAAACAACGTGTTACAGCTGTTGTTGTTTTCTTTGTAGCAAACACAAATCAGAAACCAGTAGTACACACAGCACTGCATCTACACGAGAGCCTGTTATTGTGATTTACACACACACACACACACACACACACACACACACACACACACACACACACACACACACACACACACACACACACACACAGCATAGATATTCTACATGCTTTCAATATCTGGAATCCAGAATCCAGGCGTTTATAAAGTTCACAATGAGCTCACCCGAAACCTTGGCTCATGTGATTAGGTAGAGGATCATCAGGGGTCCTTTGTCCCTCTTTGAGGGGGGAAACTCCCACTGGGTTTAAATCTGGGACTCTCCACCATTTGACCCTTAGAACTGAAGAAGCTTCTCGAATGAGAGGTGAAACGTCTTCAAGCAACTTAAAGAAGTCCAGACGCTTTTATTTGCAAGCTCCTTAGACTACGATGACCTGGATGACTGAGAACCTTCACAGACAGCTGAAGTTAAACCACCTAAAATCAGCCATGTCTTCTTTCTCCAAAACAAAGAGGACTGTGCATGGGATTTCCAAAGCAACAGCAGAAATGATCGTGCAGCAATGGATTTTTAATCTCAGTAGAGAAACAGTTCCTCATGCTTTCACTATTGATGGCTCAGGTAGTGAGTATATCAAGAGATTATTTCAAAATTCCTGGTGTCTACAATTAATTAATGACAAGTTGCTGTAATAAGCCACTGCAGGTATGTTGAGCTCCCCCTTATTATCCATTACTGTTTTATTGCTCTGTGAATACAACTGGTCATAATCTATCAGTTACCAAAGTGATATTTTATAACTTGTTTAAGAAAGATGACATGTTTAAGAAGCTATTAGACGTATCAAAAGCTATAGCACTAAATCATAACAACAGTTGCTTCAAGGTGCTTTATATTGTAAGGCAAAGACACTATAATAATATAAGGAAAACTGAGAAAACCAATCATATGTTTATTTCACAGTCAGTGTTGGAGACACTGAAGAAGGAAAATGAGATCCTGCAGTATAACTGTTGGAAAAACAAAGCAATCACAGACTATTTAAAAGAAGCCAATAAAGAGGTAAACTCTGTAACTTTAACTTTAGCAAAAGTCTTTAGTCCATAAAATATCCAATCCACTGGTACAGCAGACACAAACTCATACCCACTGTCAGGACGATGATCAAATCACAGCACCGCCTCCACTGGAAGATGAACTAACGTCAGACTCTGTGGAGCCTGAAGTGGTTAATGGGCCTCCTGCAAATTGTGCACAGGCTGCTGACACATCTGAGGGGAAACGTGGGCAGGATGGAGGAGAAAAGGAAGAAATATCCAATATGTTTATGAGCACACGTGTACAAAGTGTAGTTTTGTTTGGCTATAACATCATTAAAGAAGAGCAGCCCTTGTAAAAACACCATTAGCCTGATCAGGTGGTTAGTTAAGAAAATCTGGCTTAAAGTTGAGGAGTGAGATTTCAATAAGGTTTAAAAACCTCCACACTGGCATCATCACTGACATTTGTAAAAACTCAAGGTGCTGAGCTGATGAGGCGCTCAGTTTAATGGATTTTGGAGATCCAGCAACTGACAATATGATTGTGTTCTTTCAAAGAACACGTGTTGACATTGTGAGGATAATCTAATGGCATCAAAAGGTTCCTCTCACCTGTTTGCATAACTGGATACAAAGTCTCTGAGGAGATACCTGTTATGGAATTGTGATAGTGAATCGACTATTTTATTAATACACATCCACCCAAACTTCACAGTGGTCATTTTGTGTAATCCAGAAGTCCCTGTCGCTTGATTTAATATTTGCTCTGTTAGGATAACACACACACTGCGCTCTATCAGGATGATATAGCAGTTTTCCACCACCTGATGGCAGAGCAGGACCAAGCATCGCAGGGAGAGAGTCTGACCGCTGAAAGCTGGAAATATAAAGGTGACAATGTCAAGAGGAATGTGTTCGGTAGCTTCTAGTGTGTGAGTTGTCATCTCGGTAAGATGACACAACCTGTAAGATATCTTCAATGCTAAAATATGTGATATATGTATTGCATGACACAATATGAACAAGTGTAGGAGAGCTTTATTTGGTAAGTTCAGTTTCCCTTCCACAGGAAAGTAGGTTAGCCAAGAAAGACCATTGTTGTTTTTGCTATTATTATTATTATTATTATTACATTTTCCTTCTGCTATTTAAAATCAATAGCTGATTACATTATTTTAGTATTGCGCTATAAGTATAGCGAGTACTACAGAAGTCTTTGTTGTACTTGCGTTACTTTTGGTTTCCTCTGTGATTTAAATGCAAGGTGAGAAAAATACATTTGAATTTAACACTCAGTTCCCCATTAGATATGATTGGAGACGCTGGAAGACCCGCCTTTTTCTGTGTCAAGGTAGCCGAGATACAGGAAACTGTACAAAGCAAATTCAATTTCAAAATAAAAGTCTGAACCTGTAGATTTAATGCCATGTGCCCAATTTACATTTAAGTGTTAACATTGCTGGCATATAATATTTACATTATCTAGGAAAGCTTTATGGAAAAACTTTTTGGTGTAAATAAACTCTGTAAGGACAGCAATGTCTTTAAATTACCTTGGATAAAGTGTTCTTGCCCAAACTTCTGACATTGGTGATTATTTTTACTTGTCAAAAATGGGGCTTCCATGTAAGAACTCTAAAACTGCAGCAAGTAGAGCTGTGTCTGTTTAATTAATGAAAAATATTAACTATGTAGCTGAGTTTATAGACTTGTATAATAGATATTTGATTGGCTAAATATTTAAGGTTGTGATTTGTTAACATTAACAAAATATGCATTGTTTTTGCAGAAAAAAAAACAGAAATTACTATTTTAAATTATAGTCAGCCTATTCCTCTAAGATATCAGTCAAGGTGGAAAAAATATATATTTTTAATATTTTTAAATTGAGATTGTTTTGAGTTTTTCAGAACATTTGCAGACATAGTCATACGATTCAATGCAATAAATCATTTCGGTGGAGCATTTCCAATCTCTCCCATAACCCAGCCTTTATTTGACCCAGCTGTTGGTAAGGTGGTAAAGCGGATCATCCATCAATAACAAGGACAGCTGATTGATCTCAGCCTTTCCAGTTCATGTATCAAAGATACTCAACTCAGAGTGTATCCATCAGAGTGTGAGGAAATGTTAGATAAAAGCCCTGTATGAATGTGTGTATTATTGGGTAAATGAGACTTGAATTTGTATTTGATTTGGTCAAACTGAGTAGAAACGTGCCAATAGCAGCCCATTCAACCATTTATTTCCATATGTGATGCAAATTGAAACAAGAATGTAATTTCATATATGTTTTTAAACCCAGCTCAGACAGACTGTGGCAGAAGATATTGCACACAAAAGAAAAAAGTCTCCAAAAGTTTATTTCTGTTCATCCGGACGTAGCATTTTCAGTGGGAGAAACTTTTTATCACTCATCCAAGTGACTTCTTCAGTCTCAGCTGACTGCAGGTTTCCCCAATCTTATAAACAGTACATTTGCATAAAAAGACAAAAGTATTTTCTTCATTAGGAGGACCCTGCAGTATTTTCATATTATGTTATAATAAAGTGGAGCTCACATCGTCACAAGTTGTTGAAGGTATTGAATGTTTATTTTTAAACCTTTTAAATTCGGAGTGTAACAGTGAACTTCACACTTCTGTGTAATGAATCTCTTTCCAAGTTGCCTAGTTGAGGTTTTTGTGTGCCTCGGGGCGGGGGGCAGTAACCGGAAGTGCTAACCTCGCTCTGTAGTCTCGCTCTTAACTAGACGCTCGTCGCGGGGATCGGTGCTGATACGGTGACTGTGCTGTGAGGAGCAGGTTGCAGACACGGACGCGCTGCACTGTTAACCGCCCACGGAGTACATAAAGCCGCGTCTCCACGGCCGAAAGCTGAGCGTTGTTAGCCGTGGAGGACTGCGGCGGGACCTCTGACATTTCACCGGCCGCTGGGCTTCATGGAGTCTCCGGTGTGAGTATCTGACAGCGAACGCACCACTGAGCGCTAATCACGAATGCTGGTTTTAAACGCCTCGTATGTTTAACTTTCACCGCAACAGTCTTCCTTACTCTGTTTAATACATTAAAGGTGCTGGTAAGAAACTGCAGGTAATTTATTTATTTAGCAACAGTCCCACACTATTACCACACACCCACAGACACACATACGGGGATGGCAGGTTAACACGGGTTTATATTTTGGTGACTTTGCTGACAAGTCGGATCTTGAGCCCCCTCATTTATGAGGCTTTGCTGTTGCTGCTGTTGGTAAATTATTTAGCATTTGCTGCAACTTAACACGTCGCAAGCGCGCAACAGGTGGCATGACAAGAACAAGCTCAAATCACCGAGAATCTGAAAAAAGGAAGAAGTTAAACTTTTATTTTGAAATCTGTCGAGAAAATAAATAATGTGCGTGGCCTGTTATAGAACTGCTCTTTAACATTTGAATGCATTTATATGAATCAACACAATTTCCATACATCAATTAAATGCCATATTTATGTCGTTTATTATCTTTATCTTTTTTCTCTCTGTTCTTGCAATTATTTATAGCCAGAAAGACATTAAATTTGAGGTTTTACAACTGAGTTTGAGCAAGAGCCTTTGCAAGGCTTTATATTGTTGAAAGGAGAGAAGTTTCTATAGTGGAGACTAACATATGGACGCTTCTCCCATCAGACATACAGGACAGAGGTTTACTAATTTGCTGAAGTTTCCAACAAGTGTAGGTGCATTAAAACTTTTGTAGTGAGGTGTTTTTCCTTCTGTCCTCTAAGATGTGAAATTCAATCAGGCACCGATGACTAGTTTCATTTGAGAACCGCCCAGTTGTTGTGGATTAATGTTTCAGTAGTTGGACAGAATTACACTCAGTTTATTCTTCTTCTAAAAAAAACAACAAAAAACTGGATTAGTATCATTACAATAAAGATTTACGCGCTCCATTTTTACATAACCACGCCATGGTGTGAAGAGACTGTTCTCGGTTGTTGGACTTGAGGAGAAAAACAAAGCTGGGAGCCAACTTTTCGTACGCTGTTAGTAGCACCTATTGCAAGTAGCTTACAGCTTTTAATGTGCGTGTTGGTCAGAAGCAGCTTGGTCACCATGGAGGCCTAAAAAGTCAGAGATGCAGGAATTAGATAAGTCCTAAATGACTGTTCTGAACACGAGTAATTGCAGGGAGGAAAATATTTGTTGTTGGCTGTGCTCCTGTGCAGAACTTCAGAAAAGAGTTGATTTCAGGTGAAATGAAACAAACTCCACAGCAGGAGTTGAGATTGTCACATCAGTAGGAAGCACGGACCCGTCTGCAACCACACAAAGTTGTAGAGACATCCCAGTGGCAACACTAAGTGGAAAATGCACTGATAAATTAGCTGATGGTGAGGTAGACTGGTACTTAATATAGTGTCTTTGTACTCGGTTGAACACTCGAAGTGCTTTCATGTTGTTGGCTTTGCTGACTGATATTGGCTTGGCGGCAGATAAGATAGCATTTACCAATATCGTTGGCTGGGTCTGTCACAAGTGGTGGGTAAACGTTAAAAAAACAAAACAAACAAACCTGTGTATAGACGAGGCAAATTATTATTTGGTATTTGTTCTGAATCTCACATTTTGCTTTGTTCTCAATCTTCCAGATTTTATTTGTTGTTGGTGTTTTTGTCTGCTGAACAAGGAAACCAAATTTTAAATTCAGCATTTCCACACTCTGTACTACCCACAGCAGCTGACTCAAATCTGTTACCAACAAACTAAATGAACGTTTAATGTTACTCATGCATTCTCTGTGTATCCTTTTGCTCCAACGAGCACGCTCCACGTTTCCAGGTTTAACATTTTATCCTTTTTAAATTATTAGTGGACAATCCACTTGCTTCTTCTCCCCACCCTTTCCCTCTCGTGTTGCCCCTCTGGTTGGTTTGCTGGACAGGTTGCTGTTATGGTTGTCAGCTGTCTCTTGTCTTACACTGGGAGTCCAATTCCACTGTATTAGGCTTCATAGTGTGAAGCACTATTATACATGAATGCTGGTTTTGCCCTTGGCCTACTGGGAGATCTAAAAAAATAAAACCTTTTGTCCTTTAATTGGTGGCACTGAAATTTGTCATTTGTTGTTTAGATTCCCTTTTTATGGCCTTGGCAGAGATTCCTTTTCTTTCAGTAAATCCTAACTGACCTAAATGTGACAGTAACAGTCTGTGGAAGTTTTTTTTCCATAGACTTTCATCTTAACATCCTGATGCCAACCCTTCAGATGTTAATCTCAGCCCTTTTTAAACTGGTGTTTCCTTTTTCCCCTGATGCCAGTGGGGAAAGGAAAAAAGCTGTTGCACAAGCGTTCACTTCCTGGAATGAACATTTGACTTATAAGGGGGTGCCACTGCACATATCAGCTACGGGGGGCAGCGAGACAAAAATACACCAGGGAGCCAGGCGTCACTGTCACTGGCTGACCAGAGGTGCTGCTATCAAATGAGAGAGGCCAAGTTTAGTTTGAGTGTGTCAGAGGGTTTTTCTAAGGTTATGCTGAGAACTTAAATTGGTTAAGCGCATGATATTTAAGATTACTAAAGAATATAGCCTGCAGCTTGTAGGTTTGGACTGATATTGGTGGTAACTGCTTCACTTTTTTCACCTTCATGCCTTTATTTATTTTTTGTAGCTCCAAAGCATCTTATCTTATTTCCAGTCAAATTTCAGAGCTGTGTGGTTCTTGAGGTTTGAGTTGCCTTATAACACAGAGCTAAGTTTGGCAGGGCTACTGTACAGCAGAAGTCCACAGGTCTAATTCTTAGCCTGCAAAATCCTATACCTCTGCAGGACACATGGGTCTAAATCCTTCCATAAGTTGTGGTCTTAAATTTACTCTAGACCCATTTAAAATATGTAGAAATTAGTATTTACTGCAGCGTTATCATGTCTACAGATGCTTTGATGTTGGACCCTTGCAAATAATTTACTGAAAGCTTGTCATTCACTTCCTTTTAAGTGTGGACATACTGTCTGGCATTTAATGTCACAACTGCCTGCAAGTTGTGGACATAATCAAGCCTTAAACCTCAACAGTGTGCGGTGTTAATCCCATGAGGATTAAGGGTTTGATTTCAGGGCTCACACGAACCAATTAAAGCTTTGCTCAGTACAAACAAACATATGGCATTGAAGCCAATTTGCAGTAGCCTTTGGGACTGAATCAGGCTTGACTCACCACTAAGATGCGACTCATCTGTGATGCTCTACTTGTGAGCTAATTGTGCAATAATAGTTGGAAGGATAAGTGGCATGGATAGGCAACATTTCAGTTTATCACATTTGTCATTCATTTGTGATGTACAGCACTCTTTTAATATTACCACCTCCTTAAAGTTGCGTGGGTCCCCTTCATGCAATAACAGCTTTCAGCAAACTCTCTGATGGTCTCCTGTGGTATCAGGCACCGAGACATTAGCAGTAGATCCTTTAAGTCCTCTAAAGCTGGGCGCACATTTAACGACTGTCGGGCCGATTGCGAATGCGATTTGGATGTGACGACTGATCAAGCCCAGTCTGTGTTAACAGTTGGGAAATAAAGTCATGCACTGTGTGTAGCGCTTCCAGTCTTAATTCTTAAGAACAATCAAAGCAAGTCATCTCTTCTTAAGACTTCTGAAAAACATCTTTACAACTGAGAGTCAGTGCAGTTGGTGTTGCCCAGGAGAAGATGAACAAACACAGGAAGAGACATTTTGCTAAATGTTTGTAAGAAGTAAACTGAACAGAATCTCTGTGTTTGCACATTTTGATCAGGCTAAACATGTACACTACCAGTCCGAAGTTTGGGCACACCTTCTCATTTGATGGTTTATTTATTTATTTTCACAACTATTTACACTGTAGATTCTCACTGAAGGCATCAAAACTATGAATGAACGCACATGGAATTATGCAGTAAACAAAAAAGTGTGAAATAACTCAAAACATGCTTTATATTCTTGAAAATTGCCACCCTTTGCTTTGATTACTGCTTTGCACCCTCTTGGCATTCTCTTGATGAGCTTTATGAGGTCCTAAAAAACCTGAAATGGTTTTCCAACAGTCTTGAAGGAGTTTCCAGAGATGCTGAGCACTTGTTGGCCCTTTCGCCTTCACTCTGTGGTCCATCTCATCCCAAATAATCTGGGTTTGGGTCAGGTGACTGTGAAGGCCAGGCTATCTGGTTCAGCACCTCATCAGTCTCCTTCTTGGTCAAATAGCCCGCACACAGCCTGGAGGTGTGTTTCGGGTCATTGTCCTCCTCAAAGTTAAATGATGGTCCAACTAAACGCAAACCAGATGGGGTGGTTTGCATGTCACTGCAGGATGCTGTGGTGGTAGCCTTCAAATTTGAATAAATCCCCAACAGCGTCACCAGCAAAGCACCTCTACGCCATCACACCTCCTCCATGCTTCACGATGGGAACGATGGGAACGATGCATGTAGAGACCATCCGGTCACCTTTTCTGTGTCACACAAAGACACAGCAGGTGGAACAAAAGATCTCAAATATGGACTCATCAGACCAAAGCACAGATTTCCATTGGTCTAATGTCGATTCCTTGTGTTTCTTGGCCCAAATAGATCTCCTCTGCTTGGTGCTTTTCCTTAGTCTTGGTTTCTTAGCAGCTATTTGACCATAAAGTGTCCTCTGAACAGTTGATCTAGAGATGTGTCTGCTACTGGAACCCTGTGTGGCATTTATCTGTGCTCTAATCTGAGGAGCTGTTAGCTTGTGATTTCTGAGGCTGGTGACTCTGAATTTATCCTCAGCAGCAGAGGGTACTCTGGGTCTTCCTTTCCTGGATCGGTCCTCATGTGAGCCAGTTTCGTCCTAGTGCTTGATGGTTTTTGCAACTGCACTTGGGGACAAGGTTTGAGTAATTTTCTGACTGACTGACCTTCAGTTCTTAAAGTAATGATGGACTGTTGTTTCTCTTTACTTAGCT